GTCAAAGGCTATGAACACAAAGTATTCATAAGCAAAGAGCTCACACCTGATGAACAAGACATGATCTCATTCAACCCGGAAAGTTGGAGAGCACACAACTGCGACTAAGAAGTCTAAAATTAATTAGAAAAACTGAAAACGGCTGGGTGGAGATAAAACCCGATGACGATTCAGCCTGACTAACCCAAAAAAAAAAACTGGTATCAACAATACTCGCCTTTAATGTAAGAAGTTTAATAGAAATGTCACGGCGAAATTGTTTAGAAATGCAATCTGTCTTTCAAATAAAGATGATTTTTTATGCATAATTGAAACATGGCTGACTGATGAAGTAAGATCCGAAACTCTTTTCATACCAGAATTCCAAATGTACAAATGTGATCGACCATCCAAAAATTACCAGACGAAACATGGCGGTGTCTTAATTGCCATCAGAAACAACTCTAAACATCAGCATGAAAATGAAAAGACTTCAATTGTGAAAAAATAATGATAACTGGAGATATAAATTTTTCGAAAACTGACTGGAAAGCAATGGCATCAGATGATTCCGAGGAAGATCTAATCCTTGAAACCTTAATTGATTACAATTTTGAACAAATATTGGCAACTGAAAAAGCAAAAAGCTTAAATGTTTTCCTAGTCAACAACCCCTCCCTAATCATTAACTCATTCGTTGATTAAAATGTTAATAAAATGTATTCAATAGAAAATAAGAACCTCAGTCATCACAACGCCTTTACAACAGAAATCAATCTGAACCAAAGGCTAATTGAAACAAAAAGTGATGACAAAGTAAAATATGCATTCAAAAGAGCAGATTGGAGTGCAATCAACACTACAATAATCGATAATCCCTTTACACCGTTTTGCTTTAGTAACTGCGATTTTTTACTTGATCAATGGTACACCTGGCTTTGGAGAATTCTGAAAGAAAATATACCTAGAGTAACAGAACATAGAGCCACACTCCCCCCTTGGATCACACCCCAACCTCCCACCTTATTAAGCGCAAAGAAATTTTACTTCGGAAACAGCAATCCTGTCCGAAACCGGAAATTCTATCAAAAACTACAAACTTAGAAGAAAAAAAAAGTTTCTGCTGATAAAGATCTGAAAAACTACAAATTAGAGATTTTTGCACAAAGAAAGTTTAGTACAATTCAGAAGTATTTGCGAAGCATAAGAAGAACACCTAGACTACCTTTGATAATGAAACTTGACGGCAAAAAATTGGAGACAGACAAAGAAAAATGCGATACGTTTAATCAATTCCTCTGTAGTGTATTTACGAAAGCGGAACAAATAACCGAATTAAGTAGCTTTGAAAAAGCAAAATACAACCACATCGAGCTGAATAAAGACTGCATTAAGAAAATAATGCTCAAACTAGACATCAAAAAAGCAACAGGTCCAGATAATTTGGGAAAGCTTGTCCACACAAACTTAGCAAAAACAGTATCAAAATCAGTCCTCCTAATTTTTCAAATTTTTTTGAATAAAGGTATATTCCCAGAAACGTAGAAGTTACGTGACGTTGTCCCAATCTTCAAAGATGGGAACAAATGCAATATTAGAAGATCTACCGATAAGTTTACTATGCTGCATCTCAAAAACTTTCGAAAAGGTTTCATTTGACTACATTTATGAGAGAAAAGAGTGCGACATCATCATCATAACTCTCAATATGGTTTTGGTAAAAAACGTTCAGCAATTACCCAACTCCTTGCTTTTTTGCATCAAGTATACCTAAATTATGATGACCAAACGACCAAAATTATAACAGCGCTCTATCTAGATTTTGAAAAAGCTTTTGACTGCGTTCCGCATCAACTTTAAATGCATAAATTGAAGTGTTATGGTTTTGGAGGAAAAGCAATTCAACTAACAGCCTCTTACTTATTTCTTCAAAAACAGTATGTGCAAATAAACAAAGCAAACTCTAACATATGTTACGTAACAAGTGGTGTCCCTCAAGGTTCTCTATTGGGACCATTACTTTTCATACTATATATAAACGACTTACCAGATAACTTGAATCTAGTTGACTCTTTCGAATATGCTGATGACTTTAAGGTTATAGCAACAACTCAAACAGAAATGAACTATGCCTTACAAAATTTGAAAATTGGTGTAGTAAAAACCAAATGCGTCTAAATACCGGAAAATGTACTCTCGTTAATTTAAAAAACGAGCTGGAAGGTCAAATTAATGGAATTATCCTAAAAATCGAAACTGAACAAGAGGATCTATGAATTTGGTAACACCCACTCTCTCATGGAATGTAAATGCGTCAGTAACGCACTACTCGAAATCAATCCTCCGAGCAAATGAAAAGATTCAGCGAACGGCGACCAAATGGATGCTTAACTCACATATCCCATATAAGTGTAGACTGCAAAAATTAAGAATGCTTCCGCTGTCTCTGTACACTGAAAAGCATGACCTCCTGTTTATTTCTATAGTTCGCAATAACTACGAAATTGACACTAACCAATATGCCGAAAACACTAAAAGCTCAACGAGACAAAGTGAAAGAAACAAATATCAAATGACGAAAACTCGCCTTAAGAAAACCAACTCGAATAATATGTCCACGTGGAAAATGTAACCCAAATGGAAAACTCAGAAATAATTTACACTAAAACTACATTTTGGGTGCAAACCCATGGGATAACAATGGGACTGTGGGACATGGGACAATTATGGGACTGATTTTTTATTTTGGAACCTATGAATACGCATCTGAAATTTGTTCAAATTTTCGGCACTGCTGAACAAAGTTTTCTTTTTCGGCACTGTTGAACAAAGTTTTCATTTTCGGCACTGTTGTACTGCCCCGATAAATCCACAACTTTTTTACCAGGAGCAGCACTCAATGACATGTCAGTAAAGCAAAGATTGAGAATGTTACTCGAGGAATGTGTGGTGGAATCCATAACTTGTTCCAAAGCAACATTCGGAATATACTCGAGGGTTTCCGCAGAATCCTTGCTGGAAGCTAGATCACCGTCACAGTCAATATCCGGCATTTTAAAGTCACCGGCAATATCCGGCATTTTAAAGAAAAGAGTGCGACATCATCATCATAACTCTCAATATGGTTTTGGTAAAAAACGTTCAGCAATTACCCAACTCCTTGCTTTTTTGCATCAAGTATACCTAAATTATGATGACCAAACGACCAAAAATATAACAGCGCTCTATCTAGATTTTGAAAAAGCTTTTGACTGCGTTCCGCATCAACTTTAAATGCATAAATTGAAGTGTTATGGTTTTGGAGGAAAAGCAATTCAACTAACAGCCTCTTACTTATTTCTTCAAAAACAGTATGTGCAAATAAACAAAGCAAACTCTAACATATGTTACGTAACAAGTGGTGTCCCTCAAGGTTCTCTATTGGGACCATTACTTTTCATACTATATATAAACGACTTACCAGATAACTTGAATCTATTTGACTCTTTTGGATATGCTGATGACTTTAAGGTTATATCAACAACTCAAACAGAAATGAACTATGCCCTACGAAAATTGAAAATTGGTGTAGTAAAAACCAAATGCGTCTAAATACCGGAAAATGTACTCTCGTTAATTTCAAAAACGAGCTGGAAGATCAAATTAATGGAATTATCCTAAAAATCGAAACTGAACAAGAGAATCTATGAATTTGGTAACACCCACTCGTTAATTTCAAAAACGAGCTGGAAGATCAAATTAATGGAATTATCCTAAAAATCGAAACTGAACAAGAGAATCTATGAATTTGGTAACACCCACTCTCTCATGGAATGTAAATGCGTCAGTAACGCACTACTCGAAATCAATCCTCCGAGCAAATGAAAAGGTTCAGCGAACGGCGACCAAATGGATGCTTAACTCACATATCCCATATAAGTGTAGACTGCAAAAATTAAGAATGCTTCCGCTGTCTCTGTACACTGAAATGCATGACCTCCTGTTTATTTCTATAGTTCGCAATAACTACGAAATTGACATTAACCAATATGCCGAAAACACCAAAAGCTCAACGAGACAAAATGAAAGAAACGAATATCAAATGACGAAAACTCGCCTTAAGAAAACCAACTCGATTAATGTGTCCATGTGGAAACTGTAACCCAAATGGAAAACTCAGAACTAATTTACACTAAAACTACATTTGGGGTGCAAACCCATGGGATAACAATGGGACTGTGGGACATGGGAAAATTATGGGACTGATTTTTTGTTTTGGAACCTATGAATACGCATCTGAAATTTGTTCAAATTTTCGGCACTGCTGAACAAAGTTTTCATTTTCGGCACTGTTGAACAAAGTTTTCATTTTCGGCACTGTTGTACTGCCCCGATAAATCCACAACTTTTTTACCAGGAGCAGCACTCAATGACATGTCAGTAAAGCAAAGATTGAGAATGTTACTCGAGGAATGTGTGGTGGAATCCATAACTTGTTCCAAAGCAACATTCGGAATATACTCGAGGGTTTCCGCAGAATCTTTGCTGGAAGCTAGATCACCGTCACAGTCAATATCCGGCATTTTAAAGTCACAGTCAATATCCGGCATTTTAAAGTCACCGCAAACAATGTTTGACAAAATAGGACTACCTCTGGAGAAGAAAACCGGAATCGGCAGCCGAACGGAGAATTGTAGACGCAAATAATCAGAGTTGAGATATTGGGAAAAATTGCAGGATAGATAATGGCAGTAATCTGGAATACTCAGAAACGCAATTGAGTTTTTACAGAGAATCATTGTAACATCATTTTCACCAACTTTAAGCGACGAGAATGCTGCAGTGTGGTAGTTTGTATACACAAAGAACCCATTGGATGGGCTGCAATCTAATCAAGTTTCTGTGATGCAGATTACTTCGGGGTTAATTAATTGTACTTCTTTGATAAACTTCAAAAAATTGCTACGCGATAAAAGACTCCTCAAGTTTTTTATGTATAGATTGAAGGTTCGACTTGGTCGAATTGACTGGTTCGAATTGACCTTATTAAATAGGTTAATGTTTCTCCGGAGTAGCCGTGGTTGCTCCGTGTAAATGTATAGACGTTATCATCAATTCAGAACGTCTTCATCTAGACACCTGCTGATTGCAGACTCTCAAGTAAGGAATCTAATTTTTCCGAATTTCAACATTTTGTCTCTACCTGGAGCTCGGATTGGCAGTGTGATCGACTTCTTGTCGGAAATGGGTAAATACAATCTAATTGTACTTTTCATTGGTGGTAACGACGCATACGAACGCAACGTACCATCTTCTGTCTCCGAACAGGACATAGCCAACGAGATTTCAAAATTAGCAGAAGAGTTATCCCTACGCGCCCCAAAAATCTTTATCCTTGGCATTCCACATCGCGGTGAGTACAGAAAGAAAGCATCAGACGTGAACGGATTCCTGAGAACAAAAAAGGAAACTGGAAATACAGAGGTCTGTGCGACAAAATTTACTGCATATACCATCTTAAAGGAGACGAAGTCCATCTAAACAAAGAGGGTCTAAGAGGTATCCAGAGCAACCTGAAAAACAAGATTTTGTACACAAAATACTCAGACTCGTGCAATAGAGAAGGTCACCTGGCAACATTTGAGTGTCAATTTCGGAATTGCAACTGCACCTATTAAGTAAGTTTTTCTCGTTGAATAGAAACTGAACTGCTGGTCTCCCCTCTCGGGAACCATAGGTTTACATATCTGTTCCCAGCCTCAGAGTAGAAACAGTAAGCCGCAGGATTCCCCTTTCGGGAACCATAGGTTTACCTATCTATTCTCCCAGTCGTTGCAATGGTCGAGAAAGCGAAAGTTGCTACTCGTTCCCGAGTAACTTCGGCTTCTGATGAAGCCTGCAAAACACGAAAAGGACCAGTGCGTGCACGTGACCCACTTTTCATATGTATAGCTTGCTCTTGCAAAACTCACCTAACCGAAAAATGTACCAATCTGAGTGCAACAGCAATAGCTGGAATAACTGAATTGAAGACAAATGTAATGCTATTGTGCAATGACTGTGTGGAGCAAAACAAACGCGATGAAATCATTTCTCTCATTGCAAAAATGGAGGTAAAAGAAACCAATCAAAGCCAAACTACGAACATCGAGAAAGAAATGATTGAACTCAAAAATTCTCTTCTCGAAATCAAAACTGCAATTATCGAAAAATCTGATCCACCTAAAACAACGCAAGTAAATCAACCAGTAGCAACCATTCGCAAAACACCTGAAGCAACAATGGTCCCTGAGGGAATACGAGTGCGAGAAATCAAAGAATCAGACGACAAAGATCCTAGAAAGCGACAGAAACACGACCTTGCAGAAATCCAGCAGGTATTTGCCCACATTGAAGTTAACTGCAACATCAACGATTTACTGAGACTTGGACCATGAAACGATACGAAAACCCGAACAATACTAGTCAAAGTGTCCAATCCTTGGCAGCGCCGGCTTATTCTTTCCTCGGCAAGCAAACTGAAAACGTACGACAAGCCAGTCTATCTCAGTCGTGAGCTATCACGAGAGGAAGCAACACTAGAAAATGAGGCGCTACAAAAACGTCGCGAACTTATTAACGAAGAAATTGACAAGAAAGACCTCAGTATCCGCGATGGGAAACTGTTAATACAACAACACAACAAATGGGTTGTCTATGAGGACCCAAAGGAGGCTAATGATTGACTAAACCACTACGCAACTGTTCTTTTATTCAATGTAAGGAGCATCCTAGATTACAACAGAAGAGCTGATCTCTCAAATAGTCTACAAGTTAATGATAACTATGATATAGTGTCCTTACGGAAACCTGGCTCACCGAAATTTTAGACAATGCAGCGCTCTTTCTGCCGAAGTTTGATATACATAGAAGTGACCGTCCCAGTAAAAATGGTAAGACTAAGCATGGAGGAGTCCTCATTGGAGTGAAAAAGAATATACCCCACACGAGAATCATGTTTGACTCACCAGACTGTGTAATCACTATACTTCACTTCAAAATTCCCATGTTACTCTGCTGCATGTATAGCGCACCGTCAAACAGTTCCTACTGTTGGTCAGCAAATAAATTGATGATACTTCTAAACCATATCAGATATGTGCAACAAGAAAACTCAGTTCGAAATGTGATATTATTAGGAGACATTAATTTTGCACTAACTGACTGGTCTACACTGACATCCAGAGCTGAGAATGAACAGGTGGTATTGGATGCTCTCTGCAGCTTTAACTATGAACAAGCAATTAAAATCGACCATAGAAAATACTTACTGGACGTGATTTTATGCAATAATGGGGATATCCTTTCTGATGTTTGCATTGATAACTTTCTGAAAAGCCACTTCGCCAGCGATCACTTGCCTTACAAGGCAAGGATTCAATTTCAGTCTAACGAATCGTTCCGTCGCGACAGACCACATGAAATTGAACTCGACTTTGCAAAGTTTGCGTATACCAAAGCCGACTGGAGAGCCATAAACGATCAATTAGCTGAGGAGCCTTTCATGCCATACTGCTACAGAAACGTCGATTTTTTACGACTAGACTGTGGTACCAGTGGTTTTAAAGTATTCTAATAAAGCACATTCCCTTACAAACTAAACATCGGCTGTCCCTGCCGCCTTGGGTAAGCCCCTCAACCTCTAATCTTATTAAAATCCGAGCTACATTAACTAATTATTATACTAAAAAGCCGAGCGAAGCTAACCTCAGGAAGTTGGAAAAATCGCAAACAAACCTGGCCTATGCTCTTCTGATGGATCAGCAAAACCATGAGAGAGAACTTTCCAAAGAAGGACGTTTTGATAAACTTCAAAAATATCTGCGTAACGTTCGGCGTTCTACTACTGTGCCAAGTGAAATGTATCTTGATGGTGAAAAAGCTCGCTCCGACCAATATAAAGCTGAACTTTTTAACCGGTATTTCCATTCCGTCTACAGCAACATTCCATATGATTCAAATCTAGACAGTGATAATGCGACCCTCCTAAATCATTTTCATTTTAATATTATCGAAATAGAAGACATTTTAAAAAATCTTAACATAAACAAGTCAAAAGGACCTGATAGAATGGGAAACCTGCTCTTTAAACAGCTCTGGAGCTCCATCTCAAAATCATTAATGTTACTTTTCAATATGATTGCGAACAAGCAGCAATTCTCATCTACTTGGAAAGTAAGTGAAATAGTGCCTATCCACAAGGAAAATAACAAACAGGTAGTCTCCAATTACAGGCCAATCAGTCTTCTGAATGCTACATCGAAGGTATTAGAAAAACTGATGTTTGATAAAATGTACTCGAAGGTGCAAAAACTGCTGCATAACTCACAACATGGTTTCAGAACGAAATGCTCAACCATTACTAACATCATACTCTATCTCCGCGAAATCTATCTAATGTACGACAACAAGAATGTAAATAACCTTTCATCCCTGAATCTCGATTTTGAAAAGGCCTTTGATAAACTCAACCACCTGAAACTAATTGAAGCTTTCTCATACCGACTTCAGTGGCGCGTGCCTTGGTCTACTGAAAAATTATCTCAGTGATAGATACCAGCAGGTGCGAATCGGGCATTGCATCTCAAAATTACTGCCAATAACACGTGGGGTTCTGCAGGGATCAATACTTGGCCCACTCATGTTTATTTTGTACATAAATTACCTGCCAACGGTGGCCATGTCCAACTGCTTCGGCTATGCTGAAGACTATAAAATTGTCTCAGATAACGCAATAACCCTGAATATCGACTCGAATAAAATTTGGAACTGGTGCTCCAAGAATTTTATGTGTTTGAACCTAAGTAAATGCAAAACCCTTCAGTTTAAAGGCAGTATGTCTGTTTGCATGAAAAAACAGAATATACCAGGAACGGATCTTATGAAAGATTTTGGACTTATAGTCACAAACAACTTGTCTTGGACGGAACACGCTAAAACTAGATCCGCTAAAAGCTTTCTTCTCTTTAAAAAGAAACCTAGCCAATAGCTCGACCATAAGCACTAAGAAGAATGCAAACAGAGGATATGTAGTGCCAAAAATCAGCTATGCATCGTCTCTTTGGAAACCACTCTGAACTGGCACTCACTGAGAAGGTTCAACGTCGAGCAAGTATCTGGATATTAGGCACAAACAAGCTTTCATATAAATCGCGTCTTCAAAGACTTCACTTACTACCACTGTCCTTACATCATGAAATGCATGTAGTTTTACTTTTTCCTAGGATTATCAACTCGAAAACTGACATTGATTGGGAGAAGTATGTACAGATTATTGATACAGGCATAACAAGATCTCACGCAATACCCTTTTATACCAGCAAATGCTTCCAACTGAAAAGCAAATGCTTCCAAATGCAAATCTGATTTTTGGCAATGAGCATGTTCACTTTCAAATATATTTAATAGGCATCTAAACCAAGATGTCATCAAATCAACGCAATGCAAAAAAGAACTGACAACTATCTACTGGCGCTACTTCACTGCGAAATTCAAAGAAAACCTCCCCTGCACCTGGAGATTATGCTGCGACTGCACAAACTGCATCAATACTGCAAAACTGATTTTCTATGAGACTCAATAAACTGAAAGTGACAGAGAATCAATTCTCCTGGAACTTATCCTAAATCCTTCATTATTATTATTATTATTATTATCATTATTATTATGATTATTTTTATTATTGTTATTATTATTTCTATAGTCTATTTCTTTTTCGTGTGCCATTCTGCCAGATTGGCACAGCGCAACCTTCCGGCGACACAAAAGAAAACGAATATAGGCCTTAGTAACGAAAAAGTATTGCGAAGGAGGGTAGGAATATTCTAGAATTTTTATTTTTAAAATTTCGATCGAAGAGTGAACATTTCTCAGAAATACAAAAAGACGGCCATTTTGACTAAAAAGGACGAAAAAAACAGAACAACGACAAATATTGTGGAAAACGGTCGCAGAAGATACGAGAAATACGAAGCCTCTTATCGTGGCAACAACACACGATAACACTCTTAGCAGT